GTGGCTCATAACCATCTATAATGGGATCTGGTGCAGGCATAGATGCAGGCAGAATACTGTATAAATAATAAATAAATCTTTAAAAAAAAAAAGATAAAAAAATCAATCCTAGGCCAGGCATGGTGGTACACACCTTTAATCCCAGCACTCAGGAGGCAGAGGCAGGCAGATCTCTGTGAGTTTGAGGCCAGCCTGTGAGTTCCAGGACAGCCAGAGATGTTACACAAGAGAAACCCTGTCTTTAAAACAGCAGCAGCAAAACAAAAAATTAGTCCTTAAAAAAATAAAAGGAAAGATGTGAACGTGGGAAGAAAATTTGTTGGAAGGAAAGATCCGTGGGACCGAAATGGGGGTGAAGGGCTGATGTGAGTATGTACACAATGCAAGACGTGGTTTACAAGTCCTGCCTCAGCCTCTGTGCTGACACTACTGACAGGTGCCACCAGCCCAGCACAAAAGTCACTGCCTGCCTTTCACTCCCCAAACGTTCTGCGACTTGTTAACTGCTGTATATTCCAGTTAGGGGTCATGCTTGTAGCTTTTTGAAACAAAGAAACAAGTCCACTCCAGACCTCCCAGGCTCTAGCTGTGGATCCTCCCTGAAGCTCCGATGAGAAGTTGACACAGAGGCTGGAGACTCCAGACACTGAACAGAGACCCCAGCGGCCATGTTTTGGGACATGAGGGTCCAGCCCACAGCACACCAGCTACTTCCTTCTACTGTTTTAATAGGAAGCCCTTTATTTTAGCTTCACACACATCCTGTGTAACTATTTAGAATATTCCTCAAGATGCTTTTATGCCACTTGATTGATTTTTAAAAAGGAAGGAAGGAAAAGGCGGGAAGCCAGCCAGCCAGCCTCTGGTTTTCTCTGAGAACACAGCCATACTTCACATCTGCGCATATGAACTTCAGAAGACACTCTGGACATAATGAACAAAAGCTTTCTTGAGGTTGGAGTGATCGGATACAGAATGTCTGGGCCAAAGGAAGGCTGTGAGAGTCCTACTACAGAGGAGACTCAACCCTCTGAAGAGGGGAGATATTGATAATGACAGTGGGGAGGTGGGCAGCTTTCACTCCATGGCTCCCTCCTGCCTCCTTTTGCAGACTTTCCAGTTTTACCTGTTCAGCCCCCTCCCCCATCTCCCCTATTGCAAATGACAGTCATGCCTGCCAGGACAACACTCACTCCAGGGACCTGGCATCAAGCTTCCTGCCAGCCAGCTGCTTCCTCTAATCCCACCCCCACACTGTAAAACAAATGACATAAGCTGGACTTTGGACAGAGACTTCGCTTATCAGGGAGTTCCAGGCAGATGAACTTCATGGTTTCAATGGCTGGAAAACCCCAATATGCATTCACTCATACTGCTTACCACTGCCTCCTCCCAATAATGAGAAACTTCTCTCTTAATATTTGTTTTGTTCACTAAGCTGACCGGTGAAGAGGAAAGTGGTATGAGTTCTGAGATTCCCTAGTCTCAAATCCAATTGACGTGAAAATCGAGCCCCATTACTTCCTAATTTACTACATAAAATGTATGTAGCATTTCAACCCATCTTTAGGGGGTTTGGGAGAGGGCATGTCGGAACCCTCCCCCTTGAGTCCCAGCTGTGTGTAGAGGTTGGCAGATCTAAGCAGCCAAGACCAGCATGGAAAAAAAACCCAGAGACTTCTGTGAGTTCAAGACTACTAGCCTGATCTACCTAGCAAATTTCAGGCCAGCTAAGGCTGCACAGTTACACCCTATCTCAAAACAACAGCAAAAAAGAAGGAAAAAGGAAAACTCTCCAGGCTATATTAAGCAAAAATAAACGAAATGCAGCCTAGTATATACTGTGAGCCTCTTTTGAGTAAGACATGGGTGAGAAAAGAAATATGCATTTGTTACATGTGTCTGTATAACAAAGCAGGAGAAAGATAGACACAAGGGACTCTGCCAGGTATAGCTGCGCGGGCAAGGACAGGATGGGAGTGAGCTACTCCACCCCTCTGATGTATTTGAAACCTCAAATCCTGCCAACCAACGTGTTTTCGAATAAACAATTTTTAGAATCACAGAAGCTCTGCCCAAAGGAGAAGCAGGCTGGAAGCCCTTGACAAGCCCTGGTCGCAGAGGTGCCGACGAGAAACATTGCAGGTGAAAGCATTCCAGAGCCAAGCCTAGCCCGCTGGAGTCATGCCAGCCCCTTCTGGCTGTGGCCACTCACTAGTTTCTTGCTTCAAGAGAACTATTATTTTCCCCAGGAGGAAGCAATAGTTGTGAGTCACCAATCCACAGTTTTGAGGGAAGTCTACCCCTGAAGAGCACATTGAAGTTCTCAAAAGGGTCTTCTTCAGAAACATCAGGAAACATTGGGGCTCTGACCAAAACCTAACACAGTAAGTAGTCAACCCCTCTTAGGAGGAGGAGAACTCCATGTCCAGGTAAGAGGAGGCGGAGAAAACGTAGGCATTCCAACCCTGGCTCACTTTCTTCCCTTCTGGATACAGAAGTTGACCGGTCTGCTGGCCACTGCTTGTAGCTGAATGTTTTCCAAGTTTAGGTTCTCTAGGGAATGAAATGCAGCGTTCTGGGTCACTAGTTTCACCCTCCCCAAGCTCAGCTCTCCCAGCACGTCGGTGTCTCTCCCTGCCTCTGAGTGTCTCAGGCTGGAGCTGCCTTCCACTTAGCTGGCCCCTACTTAACTATCTTGCCCTTTCTTCGCCCTCCCTGATGGCAGAGCCCATGGTGAGGAGTGACTCAGGAAGAGCAGAGCCCAGGAGCGATCTGTTTATGCTTCAAACCTGATGTCCCCACAGAAGCCCTTACTTTACAATTAGTAATAACAAAATAAAGCCCTGCCATTGGGGATTTCCCTGCTTCCTCTGACCTACTCTAGTAAGGACAGCATCCCTGCATCCTCACAAAATCCAAAGGGGTAATAGCTGTGCCTCAGTAATCCCTTCATGTATATGTAATGTAGCTATTATCTCCATTGATCCTCATGGCAAGCGCAGGACCAGTATTATTACTCCTGTTTTATAGCGGAAAAGACTGAGCTACTAGCCTAAGGTCAGAGACAGAGGGGGTTGGGGGGAGGCAAACCCAGAGTCCCGGGTGAGGTGGCCAGGCCGACATTTCCATACTCCTTTGCACTAGCCAAATCACTCCCCTCTCCCACGTCACCTCGACATGTTGCTCCCTAGAACCCACTGCCTTACCAAGCAAATACAACAGCACTCGGGGCTCTCTTTGAATGGCGGTGACTCCTTGCTCAAAATGCTGCTATCACAACAACCCTTTCAGCAGGGGTATGTGCTAGAACCAATAAAGGAAAAGAGAAAAGGAAGAAGGGAAAGGAAAAGAGAAAAGGAAGAAGGGAAGGTGTTGGAAGGAAGCAGCTCCAGGAAGTTTATAAGCTTAACAATTGCTGTCACTGACCCAAGAAACAGTACACAAAACAGGAATGTGGGTGTGGCTAACATTTCTAAGATATGAACTAAAATGAAATGTGATGGGTGAGCAAAGAAAGGGAGAGGAGGCAAAGGAGAAAGGGATTAGTAGAAATCAAAGATGAAGTGAAAAAAAAAAGACTCTAGGGGAATGGATCTTTTTTTTTTTAAATGACAAGACAGCAGATTTTGAAGCAATGGCTCTGATAGCTCTTGTGCCTCGTGCCTTGAATGCTGGATCTCCAGGAATGGGAGACAGAGGACTCTGGTTTCATCCCCAGCTTAGCTTCTATCCCCTTGTAAACTGGAAAAGTCATTTCCTCTCTCCAGACTCATTTCCTTATCTGTACAATGGAGGGAAGTAGGATCACCTTTTGCCTAGTCCACCCAAAGTTTTACAGTTGTGATGAGAGACCAACATCTTGCGTATTTCTGCTCTCCAAAAATGTATCAAAATGAAGACACCCAGGCTGACGGTAAGGCTTCATTTCCTTTACCCTCTAAAATGCGAACCTTGAAGGGAAACAGATCCATACAGAAAACACTCCAACAAAACAACAATAGTAGTTAGTGTATGACACTCAAGAATCAGACAGAACACACCCAAGTCTCTGGGTTTGGTCCTCAGCGCTGTAGGGTGGTGGCGGGGAAAATCAGACAGATAAATATACAGGTGCTGACACACATTGACCAAGGAACAAACCAACCAACCTCACACTCAACCTCATACAAACACATCTCGAGACAGTCATGCCCCAGCACGCGAGCTTGGTTGTTTCTCAGGAAAGGGAGTCTACAGAGAAACAAAAAAAACTCGCATTCCGGGTAAGGAGGAGGGCAGAGTTCTGGCTCTAAGGAGATCCAGCCAACCAATAAACCCAGTCTCCCCCAGGAAATCGCCACTCAGTCAACAACCTTAATTAGGACTCCTCGCTACTTAGTCAAGAAAGGATTTCTGAATACTGTGATCTGAGAAATTTTGGAGAACTCATTTCTTCTTCAGACGCTGAACGACGGCATTTAATCCCAGACGGTAGACAACTTTAACAAGAGCGAGAGGCCCATTGTGCAAAAGCCAGGAAAGGAAACCTTCCTAGTCCCCACCTCCATTACTTTTCCTCCTCCGACACTTAAGCCAAACGAGGCTCAAGGTTTCTGAGTTGTCTGAAGATGTCGGAGGGACAGGGTGGCCCTTCCCAGGAGCTTATTATGGAGGGGAATGGCCAGCGAGAGAGTTGGGTAGAGGAAGGGACCGGAAGGGGAGACGCAGAAACGTGGACCCTCCTAGTTACTTTTGGTGCTCCGACGGAGAGGATCGCTCCAGGCTACGGTGTGAGAGGTGGGTCACAGATCACCCGCTTGGGGGAGGGGAGCCAGTCCTCCGGTGGGGGAGGGGAAAGGAGAGTGACCAGACCCGGGCAGAAAAGTAGACTCCAAAGGGCGAGGCAGGCGAGCAAGCAGGTTTCTGGACTCCTCCCTTCCCGAGGGCGCGCGTGGGGTGCGCCTTCTTCCAACCTCTAACCGGACCCACCTACTCCTCCAGAAACTCTGGGAACTCACCCAGGATCACAGACGTGAAGAGAAACAACAGTCTCCTCCCGGCTTCCCCCTCCGTGCCCATTACAGTTACAAAGCCGACGCGACGGGCACCGCCACTCCGCTGGGAACGGCTTCGCGAGCCACTGCGCTGGGACTGGAGTCCAGCCGCCAGGTTGAGCCCCGCCCGCCGCTCTCTCCACCCCCGATGGGCGGTGCCCGGCTGCCCCGCGCTCCGATTGGTGAAGAGAGAGGGAGCTCCGGTGAGTGACTCACCGTACGCAGGTGCAGCCCCGAACCTTCCTCCCTCTTGAGTCCGATTGGTGCCTTTCTTCCCTAGAGACCTCTGGTTGGCCCAGGAGACTGTCGCTTAAGGAGGCCAAGGCCTCCTCTTGGACAGGTAAGGGCATCCCGATTGGGCAATAGGGCAAGCCGGGAGAACCTTTCCAACTGGCCCGGCTTATCTCTAAGGAGATGAGGAAGGGGACCGGCCTGTGAGATGTAGGAATGTGCTTGGTTGATTTTTATTTTTGTCCCCATTACTTTGATTGATGTTGCAGAATCTTTGGTCCCCTCCTTTTTGGTTAGTGAAAAACGTATAAATATGGGAAGGGGTCGGGAGACCGTTGAGAAACAAGAGATACCTTGAGTACCTCAAACTGGGTTGCTGTCCCCCCCCAGTACATTCTCTCAAAAAGAAACTTAAATACACGGACACAGAAAACATCCAGATAATAAAAGCTGACCTACGCCTCCAGGGATTGTAAAGAGGCGGCCGCCAGGGCCAGACTTCTCGAAAGCAACCTTCATTTTGCCCCCCTCTTCCCCCCTCCCCATTTTGTTAACAGGACTATGCTGGTCTCACATTTCCTAGCTCGCGGAGCCAGCTCCTACCCACTCCCTTGAAACGTTTTCTTAATCTTCTGTTAACTGCTAAAAAAAAATGCAAAACTCGCTGTTATCTTAACCAAGGTGCCTAAAGTTGTACGAAATATATTGCCTGCTAAGCTCTCACTAACACAGGCAGATGACCTCCTCATCGCCTTAAGCTCTGCATGGCAAGTCTGGGGAAATAATTAAGGGTCTTGAGACCAGGTGTCCTGGATCAAGCCCAGTCTCCAACAGATACTCCCTTGCTTAAAATTTCATTAGATGACCCCGACACTCACCAAACTCCCCCTCGCCTTGCAGTTTTCACCCTTTAAAAATGCAATACGGTTTCCCCTTGGGACATGGTTCGGACCCGAGCTGACAGCCTCCCTGTGCGCTCAGAAAATAAAGCTTGCTTTTTTAAGCTTTGGTGTCTGAAGTAAGTTTTCTCGGCCTCCTCCCCGAACCAACAGGATGACTGGAAGTATCTTTTTTTATATGTACGATCTGTCAGTAGCTCCTTTGCTGGACCTAACGTTAGGATTGGCTTTTGTTTTCTTCGCTCAGGGCTAGCGGCTGCGCAGCTGAGGCTGGCCTCAGACTGTGGCTCCTCCGGTAGAAAAGGTTATCCCACAGAATAGCACACGTCTCTAATTCCAGCACAGAGAAAGACTGAGGGCTCAAGGCCAGGCTTAGGTATTTAGTAAGTTGTCGGCCAGGCTGGGATTTGTGAGGCCCTGACTCCGAAGAAGAGTACGAATAGGGTAGTGTTAACCTGCCTCTCTATCTCCCTGAGTAAGTACTGGGATGGGCACACCACCACGCCGGGCTGTTAAAATAACTTTTTTTTTTCACCTAAGGTAATTGTCGTCTTGGTGATTTACTGCCTCTGTCTGCTAACCTAGGCGTAGTCTTGGAAGCTTCTAGCCTCTGTACAATATTACCTAGAACTAAAATGTATGTCTCAGCCTCTGAGATGCTGCTGAATAAACTCACCCTTTCTGAACTCTTGCAGACTGGTTCATCTCAGCTGTTCCGGCTCAAACTCCTCTCCAAGCTGACTGATTTAATGTGGCTTCTCTCAGTTTCTCACTAAATTGCTCTGTTTGGCCTCACACTAACGTTGGCAGTGTGTTCTAATCTTCTGGCTCCTTCTCATTCTCTGGCTTGCACTACTAAACTCTGTAAAACTCTCCTGGGAAAACTGAATTCCGTGAACTGAGCTGACAGGAACTCAACTCCATGGCAGTGCCTCTCACTGACTCAAGCAAACTGCCTCAACAGTACTAAGACATCTGTATGCCTCTGTCTCCTGAGTGATGAAAGACGTGTACAGCTCTCCTGGACCTAAGCTTTTCTTTACCTGAAACTTGCTCTATACCAGGCTGGCCTCGAACTCAGAGATCTGCTTGCCTGTGTCTCCTGGGATTAAAGGCGTGTCTCTGTATTCTAGCTGGAACATACAGACCTAGATCTTTGGATGTGATCTCTTGCCAGAACAGGCATGTTCTGAATTAAAATTCCTCTACAGGTAGGAAGAGAAAAACAAAAACAAAACATAGTGTTTTACGCTTGTAATCCCAGCACTGTAAAGACAGTCAGGAGGATGAGAAATTTAAGGCTGGCCTTTACAGGTAGCAAAGCTGACAATAGCCTGAGCTACAAGAGACCCCACTTAAAAAAAGAAAAGGAAAACAGGCTGGAGAGATGGCTTAGCCATTAAAAGTGTATGCTCCGTTGGCCTCGGGGATGCTTGCCTTTAGTCCAGGCTCCGGGGAGGCAGAAGCCAAACCTGATCTACACAGTGAACAAGGAGAACAACCAGAGCTCCAAAGGGAGACCTCGAAAACCCAGTAACAACATGTTTGCCAACCCTCTACTGGGTGAGAGAGGGAAGTACAAACAAATTAAAACAACAATTAGGACTTCAAGGTTGACAAGTTGTAATAAACAGGGCAGTGTGTAACTAAGGAAGAAATTTTGTATCACTAAATTGAAACAATTATTTGGCTACCTACCAAGTGCAAACTTTTTATTTTCAAAGAATTTTAAAGTCCTAAAGTTGAGAAACTTTTTATACACAGTTTTTGGGTTTGTTTGGGATAATCTCACTTTAGCCCAGGCTGGTCTGCAACTCAACAACTCAACATATAGCCAAAATGTCCTTGAACTCATGATGTCTCAACCTCCCTGAATATCAAGATTATAGTGTAAATGACTAAATGTAACATCTAAAACTATTTTCTTAATTTCCAGTCACTGTGCTCTGGCATTACACAAAATGTTTAATTACTTTTTTCCTTGATATCTTTCCATTAAAAAAAAAAAAAAGATTTAGGAACCAGGATGATGGCTCATTGTATTACCAGTCTTCCAGAGGACACACTGAAACTTTAGCCATATTTGGTTGTTTTGTTTTTTGTTTTTTGTTTTTTTTGGGGGGGTGCTTTTTTTTAAAAACAGGTTTCTCACTGTAACAACCCTGGCTGTCCTGGAACTTGCTTTGTAGACTAGGCTGGCCTCAAACTCACAGAGATCTGTTTGCCTCTGCTTCCAGAGTACTGGGATTAAAGTCATGTGTTACTGCTATATTGTTTTTTTGCTTGTTTTATTGTTAGTACTGGGGATTGAATTCAAGGCCCTATGCACACCAAGCCTATACTCCACCACAGAGCTATAAACCCAGTCTTTCATTTATTTTTACTTTCTTGTATTTGGGGACAGGGTGAAATTGGGACTTACTATATTATCCAGGCTGTCCTGAGCTCTTGCTGTGTTGCTTAGCTTAGCCTTGAACTCTTGACAGTCCTATTTTTTAGCCTCCCAATACAAGCAATAAACTACCACATCCCCCCCCCCCCCCGGTTTTTTAAGACAGGGTTTCTCTGTGTATCCTTGGCTGTCCTGGACTTGCATTATAGACTAGGCTGGTCTCGAACTCACAGAGATCCACCCACAGAGATCGACCTGCCTCTGCCTCCCTGAGTGCTGGAATTACAGGCATGTGCCACCAATCTGCCGGGCTACTGTATACATTTATTGATTCAGTCATTTATTGCTAGTATGGGGATTGAGCTTGGGGCTTCAGACTTACTTAGGATTAAAGGTGTGTGCCACCATGCCCAGTGTGGGGGTACTTTCTGAGTTACCTTGAATCCTGGCGATTGGCAACAGCAGGAGTACATGCAAAAGCAAAGAGTCACATCTCAAGCCAGGATGCAAAGAGACTGGGTGCGGCTAGGCTCCCTCTGTGACAGCCTTCCAAGAACTACTAGGCAGTCACACAAGAAATTCCTCAACCTCCTTTGAGGGTTTCCAGTGCCTCAAGGATCTCCTGTCAGCGCCCCCTCTCTGTGTCTCTCTCCTCCTGTCTCTGTCTCTCCTGGGTACTGTCTCTCTACCTTATTCTCCTGAAACAGGGTCTCTCACTGACCTTAGAGCTAGACTAGTAGCCAGCCAGCCCTAGGATCCCTGTCTCCACCCCACACAGCACAATGGATCCTGGCTTTGTTTGTTGGTTTTGGTTTCTCAAAACAGGGTTTCTGTGTATAGCCTTGGCTGTCCTGGAACTCACTCTGTAGTCCAAGTTAGCCTCAAACGCCCAGAGATCCACGTGCCTCTGCCTCCCTAAGTGCTGCTACTAAAGGAATGTGCCACTACTGCCTGGCTAGTTTGTTTGTTTGTTTGAGACAGGGTTTCTCTGTGTAACCCTAATTGTCCTAAAATCCCCTCTGCAGACCAGGCTGGCCTTGGACTAAGAGATCCCTGTTGGGGGGTTGAATTATCTTCATCAGAGCCTCTTGCTTCTGCCTTCAGAGTGCTGCTTTGTAGCCTAGGCTAGTCACAAACTCTTGATCTCTCAGCCTCTGATGTGCTGGCTGCTTCTTCCAATGATACGTCTATCTCTGTATCTCGCTTATCTTTATTTTATTTTATTTTATATTATTTTTATCAAGACAGCACAATGGATCCTGGCTTTGTTTGTTTCTCAAAACAGGGTTTCTCTGTGTAGCCTTGGCTGTCTTGGACTCACTTTGTAGATCAAGCTGCCTCTGCATCCCTAAGTGACTGTAAGTCTTATACTCATATTTTATAAATAATGAAAGGGACAAATAGTTAAAAGTATCTTATGGTAACTACTCAGTTATGGTAAGGCAGACCTAGAACCCAACACACCCTTGCCACAATAAGCTACTAACAGTAAGCCCACTTACTGAATGTGTGTCATGTTCTGGTTTCATGGTTAGTTTATAGCAATGAAATCCCTCTCTTTAAAAAGCTAAGCCTAGGGCTGGAGAGATGGCTCAGAG